AAAAGCAAAGGAGTTACATTGGTATATTAATAAGCAAATCCTGCCGTGGAATATGTATGAAACACTTTCATAAGCGCATTAACGTAAGCTGCAAGCCGAAAGTTTATGCCCAGTTTCACATCGGCTGCAGTATTTTGAATGGATCTGGCGGATCGGTCTATCGGAAAATACAGTCCTGAGTGGACAATGTCTTTCTCTGAAGTTCCTAAAAATACAATTTAATTAGATTTTATTTCTTTTTTCACTGCTGGGTAATCAGATCACAGGTTTAGGTTCCTTGTCAAAAAAATTTAGATTTGCATCTTATATGTTCGTAATATTTAAAGTTTATTATTTAATGTATTTTTTTTATTGAAATGTTTCTAAATTGTAATATAAAAAAGTTAATTGTACGAAACTCGGTTATTTGCACCTTATCCAATATTCATAATATAACTTCGGTAGTTTACAAAGGATTTTCATTTTGGAACATTGCTCTTCACAACTTTGTGGTACATTTAAACACAAGTTTGCAAAAGATGAGGCAACACACATTTAGATTCCATATTGGGGAAAAAGCTATATAATTCAGCTTACAGACTTTACCGTGATAATACGAATGCAAATTTTTCTTAGAATATTATTTTATTTATCATATTGGCATGCTATTTCTTATCTACTTTTTCAGATTTTTTCCATTTTTTGCTTTTCCCTCATATATGTCGCATTATTGTGCCGATTGATAACTTAAGATTTGATTATACACGATTTTGGGTTGCGTCCTTCTTGATTCCAAATTTGTCCTTACCAATGACATCTTTACTACTTTACATATTTTGGGGGACATAGTAATAAAAATAACCCATCAGCAACATTGGTATGTTTTACATGTTGTTTATTGGCTAATTGTTTTAGCCCTTTCCTTGTTTCTATTTCTTCCACTGATAGATGTGATTTTTCCTTTTTGGACCAGATTCTCTTAGTTGGCAATATTGTTTTCCTATACCAACTGATAAAGATTCGCAAAACATTGAGTGTACCTCTTGGTTAGTTGAGTTTTTTTCGCTGTGCACCGGAATTTTTAGTCAGTGTATCCTAAACAAGTCGCCTATTCTTGTGTTTATGTAGCATTTCACTCAAGTAACGAGTATTGCAAACTATCTGGTTTTTTTTATTTGTTTTTTGATCTGTTTTGTACTAAGTATCACTATAAACAGCTTTACCAGTTAGTGGCCTAGTTTATTGCGACATTCATTTCAGTTGTTTTTGGGCGCAGCTCTATATTCTTTGTCGTAATTGTTTCCAATTGTTTCCAGTGCTTCTTGAAATAATGTACAAAGGTTCCACTCCCTTTGAGGATTTTTATACAAAAATACAAATCAAAAAGTACCATAAACGCCAACTCGGCTTAATATTGTAACGGAAATGGCCTGGGGTACTCACGTTTGGAATGAGGGGGATCAAAATTCATGGAATTTCAGTAAATGGGAGCCCCCATTGCGCCCCATTTACTGTCAAATATGACTCTGACAAGCGGGAAATTTCGCACCTGGTCTGGAGATTTCGAGAACC